TACCACCTGTATGTTATTGACAAAATCACTCCAACGTTGCATTTTCAAATATTTGCCAAATCAGTTCTCGCACATAGCATTGATTTGGAAAAGATTGGCTGAAAATGAGGTCAATTTTTGAACCACTGGGATTCTCCAGTGGGGTGTTCATCACACTGAAGTGTGATTCACAGTGTGAGAAAAAACTGCCCAATCATTCCTATTCAATATCACACAAATCACACCGCAAATGGATCGAGCAAAGTATACCTGATGGAGCTCAAGCGCTTCATGGAGTTCTCGGGACGCACCGAGGAGCTCAACGACCCCAACTTCACTGAGACGAACTTGCTGGATGTGACCCCTGAGGACATCCGGCGCTATTTCAACCTTAAAGCCTTTGGAACTACTGCGCCAACGTCTGCTTCCCTTCCAACACATGCACGAGCAAACACCCTTAAATCTATGAAAAAGATGCTCAGCGCGTTCATGCCACGCCGCATGATTCCATGGGACGAAATCCGGCGAGAGGGCAACCCAACGCGATCTGTGGTTGTAAATGACGTCATCAAGTTGGTGATGAAATGTGAGGTGCAACGTCAGGGCGTCGAGTCAAAAGCCCGCAGGCCCATTGAGTTCACCGAGTTCATGAATGCATTAAAAGTCATACGACTATGCTCCGAATTTTCGGAATTGGATCGATACCGGCTTGGGAGCGTTATCACGTTGCAATGGCACCTGGTTGCACGAGTCGACGACATGATGAAACTCTGTTTGCGTGAGTTTTCATTCAACCCAAGTCACCAGCTTACCCTACTGTGTCAGATGCGGTGGTCAAAAAAAATTTCCGAGGACCGCGAAGCCCCTCATCAAATTGTCCTTGCATCCATGGACGATCGTTTATGCCCTTTGTTGAACCTGGCTGTGTACATGGATACGTTGGTGGACCCATTGGTTGGTGATTGCTTTTTGTATGGCAATGGAAATGATGGACACAGAATGGTTCACTCCCTACTTGGTGTGGCATTGGAGCATTGCGACTTCGTAAACTGGTGGCCGGAAACCTGGGAACCCACAGCATTCGAAAGGGAGCAGCAACATATTGTGCGAAATGTGGTGTTTCAAAAGACCACATTGAATTGCGTGGTCGATGGCGGGGTCAAAAGAAGCAAGTTGACACGTACATTAATATTGAACGATCATTTCCTGATGCTCAAGTTGCATCACGTTTATGTGGTCCAAATGGAGCGGCGAAATA